TTACATTTCCGACTCGGCACGCGTGACAATGACCTTGAGGAATGCAACGAGTTGGCTGTCGATTTCACGGATCCGGTCGCGTAGCCACATGCGCATATCACAGACAACTTGCTCGTTGCGGCTGCGACCTGTGTGCAGCTTACCCGCGGTGTCCTTGCCGATGACCTCTCCTAAGCGACGTTCGTTTGCCGTATGGATCTGGTCGATTGTGTTAGCCTCGAGAGAATTTGAGTCGAATTGAGTGGCCGCTCACATCTTCGTCATTCGGCATGATCACGAAAGCCCCCTGCTTCCATTCTTCCATGATTTGGAGCAAACCACGCTCAATTGCCTGAAATTCGTCTTCGGTGATGATGCCAGCCTTTGAGTTGGCCCTGGCAAAAGCAATCGATCCAAGGATATCTTCTCGGTAAAGAGCCTTGTCGAATCGGATGGAGGCATTGTACTTGTGCATGAGAGGATCAATGGCACCTGCACACCGTGAGGTCAGTATACTGCATCCCAAGCTTGTCTTTCGAGACAGTCGAACCTGTGAACCTGCCTCCCCAGAGCATGCCAGCTGCCGGGGCGTCGGCCTTCTTCCCGGCCATGTTGAAATAGTTGTGAGTAGCGTTTGTTTCGTTCAATGCGTTTTCCAGGACGATGAAATCAATGGGATCGAGGAGGCCAATGGAGCATATGGCGGGTAACTATATTCGAGATCAAGGGCGTGAGTATTGAAGTCCCAAAAATGCGTTGAGGAATTACAGTTGGTCAATCAGTTGAGGGCAGTCATAGGAAAAGTTTGTAGGGCAGAGTCACAGTCACGTGTTACGTAAGGACCCCGCCAACTATTTTTCAGGTACAGTAGGAAAACAGCTTCACCGATACCGGCGGAGGGGCCATTGCTGCTGGAGCTGGAGCTGGAGCTGGAGCTGGAGCTGGAGCTGGAGCTGGAGCTGGAGCTCAAGCTATTGCGGGGGTCGGGGGTTAGTTACTCAGGTCCCCTTATTGCGCAGTCGCCGCATTTCCAATTGAGCCGCGTGATTGGGTGGTTGCAGGATATAAAGCACCGTTTAAAACAAATTGCAACATGGATATTTATAGATGCATATGGTATAGTCACTGGCCCAAGGTTCACTAATAGACTGGCTGGGAATAGGTCATAATTGCAGGCTGCAAATCACTCAAGAGCGGAGTGAATGACGCTACGACGGCACATAGGGGGCCTGGCCAGAGGTTTCGCAACGGCCATGATTTGCCCACAAGAACAAATTATCTGATAGCAACCACCACTACATTCACCTATTATGATTGCTGTAAGCCGATGTTCTGCTTAGCATTAGTTCACAACGTTCCGCCCGAGGTCGACTTCTATTTGGCAGTTTCCATGGTTGAGTTCACTTTTACGAAACATGAAGATAGGAACTGTTTCAATTTGCATGCATGTTAAAACTAGTTTCAGGCTTCCAACCACATTCTTATACCTCCAATATATAAGATAAACTATGATGTTAAATTAGTTGGCAGGTATACTAAGACTAAATCTATTATTTAAGTAGGCTGATTGTTAACGTGCACTATTTCATATGCATCTTCAGGCTGCTTCCGACTATTATATCTCAAACTAAAACTCGCATGTACCAGCTAACGTAATATATATCATGTATTTAATACATATACCCAAAAGGCTGATACACACCTTACCAAGATTTGCATCCTACTCGACCATAATATCTTGACGGCTTACAAAACTCAAACTTCATAATATGAATCATCTTAAGTGGTAAATTAATAGGGCACCTTACCACCAAGAGCTACTTATACCACAAGAATTCCACACTGCCGGATCAATTATACATTCGTAAAAAATCCAACATGGCATTAGAAGATGTGCCCGTCTTCTAACGTCATAAACACGCTGCTCATCACAGTTGCGAACGCAGCGCCAGCCTTATAGCCTGCCAGCCTGCAATGGGCTGGGACAACTTCTCTAATATATAATAAATTGGCGACGGCTACCGGAGCGGGCTCGATTTGCTGGCTATTCCCCACCGCACAAATTATAATGGTTGTATTACGCCTGATGGTGATTCTCACGCCAGCAAAGCTATCGGCGACAATCACGTAGTGACTGCCTGGTCTGATAGTCGAACAGCGAGTCGACAGACATTAATCTTGATGGTGAGTGCCAACCGTGTCTTCTGGATCTTTTCATAGGAATTACGGCTTAAGACTGCAGCCAGACAGTGTCGAAGTTGGAAGGGTGCATATCAAATATTCAAAAGATTTGGGTTAGGGTCTATCAATGTGGGCAGAGAGAAGAATATATCAAACTAGAGATCTCGTCTAAGATACTTTCGACGGGTACCCCCAAAGGAGCCTTTTTTAAGGAAAGAAGCGTTCATTAGCTGCCGAGTACAATCGCATAACCTATCACATCATCTTCCTGTAAGATCTGAAAAGCTTTCGCTCCTCCAGTTTCTTAGCGGTAGAACGAGGCGCGCAATCCATGTCTGAACGTGTTGTAGCTTTGCATCAGCCGAGATAGATACTTTAATCACGCGAACCGCTTACCATATCTCGGCATAGCGTCCGTTATCTTACTTAATTAAGAGGCTGTCGAGAAGAGGTTCTCTTAACAAAAAGATTGGTGCCAGCGAGTCTGATTTACAGGTAAATTGTCGGCATCATTCCTGGATATAGTCGGGTCCTAGAACTCTTCCTGAGGAAATTTCAATCAAAGACTCGGTCGGTGTAGCCGAACCCAAAATCTCCAAGCTTCTGCGGCATCTCCGTCAGCCCAGGATTGCCAAATAAACCTTGTCCAGAGATACCAGTGCAAGAACGAAGCCCCATCTATGTCAAGTAGAACAGCATTGATTGAGGGGGCAAAGCCGACAGGAAGACCATACAAAAGCAAAAAGCACGAGGTTCTATATGACCATTAGCATCGTCAGTGTTGACAGCAATGCAGAAGAGGAAACGGGAGCCAAGAGATAGTTTTGAGATTTAGCGCCATGTGGCTTCACATTCTGACTTTATGGATAAGCAGGCCGGCTGGAACTATGAGATGCGTGATTGGCCGATCAATACTCTGCGGAAGCCTTAGACACCCAATCGACTTCACTGGAGGGTTCTGACAAAGGTGACTTGAGAATGTCACGTTGGCCAGGTTCGATATTGAAGCTCTTCAAGAGGAAGGCTTTACATGAGCATTGCGATGATTTTGGTTGTTTGCAAGCGAACTGCTCGGCCATGAGAGTTCCCGAAATGCTAGGAGCCAATGACCGCACTATCGTGACTCGTGTAGCGGTTGACGTGAAATGAATCCTTTCTTGATTATGTGATATGCGCGATTACTTAATGATGCCCAGTTTGCGGGCCGTCCGTTGTTGACATGTCAGTCTGCCGCCAACTCTGTAACTTGGTCATGATTAGAGCCCATTTGATTATGATTTCAATTGACGTTCATCGCGATTGGCTGGCTGGCTGACTGGTTTCTCGCAAGCCGACGTAGTCGCAGGCCATGAGAGACCCTCAAATATCTTTTGGAAGTCTCAGCTCTGGCAGGTAGGAGAATCGCTAGCCAGAAGCGGCAAGATAGGCTGTTGGGCAGATTACCTGGGAAATGAGAGTAGGCTTCTCTAGGAGTCTTGAAAGATATATCTCGCCGTTATTAGTTCAAAGTTCAAGCCGTCGCCAAGGGATGAAAATCCCTTGACCCCAGCTTAGTCAGGACGGCCGGTCTCGAGTAGCTTCGGAGCCGGTAACGGTCTAGAATGAGGATAATCTGATCTAGAGCTAGCGTGCGAGCCAGAAGAATCCGTTCTAACCGCAGACGTTTCAATTCAGGAACACATATCCGATCGAATGCATCGAGCTGTCCACTCGGCCCCAAGGCCCTTTTCGAACAAGAGGCAGGCTAGCCAAGACAGACAGAAGTTACAGGACACGAACCAGGGCTGAGGCCGGCTTCCCGCGATGCATAGTAGCCCTCCAAACCGTTGGGTTTCGCTCGGATGGCTCTTTTTCCCGGCCGGCTGGTTCCTCAGCCCCAGTTAGCTCTGCACATATAGCATAATATTCTGACATACTAACAACAACTCAACGCTCCCTAATCATAGCGATCTCATTATCACGACCGCCTATCGTGAGATTTTCGTCGTGTAATGGCATGCACTGTCTAGCTTCACGCGGCGCCTTTTCGGGGATAGTCTATCTCCAGGGCCACTCGCATATCAATAATGGGGTCAAGGGTTCTTTTACTGACAAAATGACGGACACCCCCCTGTCCCAACTTGGCTGCTCCGGTGATCGTCAATTCCAGCCCCCAATGAAGGAACTCTGTCCGATTCAATCCGCGGCTTTGGATGATCCAGATTCCCCATCGCAACCCATACTGGCGGTAGCTCGCTCAAACAGGACACAAACGAACGCATGGAATGCTCGGTACGTTGGAGAAGCAGGGCAGGGTAATGCAAGTGCGGCTCCGGTAATATCATGGCATCGAAATGGACCCCGTTCCCGCCCGCTCGGGTGGAGAGTCTCGCATGCCCTAAATCCTTCAGGAAAAACGTGCTCCTCAGGCTATTCAACTGAGGGGGCCGCTCGCAATGTTGGCGCCGCTGCAGATATATTTTCCCCGTCGGGAAGGAACAGACAGTGGAGCCTCGGTTCTGCACCATTGGCGGACACTAGGTGCATTGCATGGTAGCCAATCGTGACATGTGTTTCAAGCTATTCGGCGGGGGCGTCATATCAGACTATGCGTTTCCCCCTTACCATGCATACATCGTATGGGCTTGGAAGAAGCAGGTCGAATCGATACGGCTCTGGAGATGTGTGGGAAAGGGCCGAGAAGGGTGTAGGCACTGGCCGGCCCTATCCATGTATAAGAAGCCGGCCGAGGGAAGGCTCAAGTATCGAAAAAGAAGGGCTTGTCTTCTCTCATTCAAACTCTTCCATCTTACTACATTCACTACAACTCATTTCTCTCTCTCCAATACACATCTCTCAAAATGGCTGACACAGTTCCAAACAAGTCTTGGGTCTTCAAGCAAATCCCCGAGGGTCTCCCCAAGCTCGGTGTCGATACCGTGTATGAAGACAGACCCATCAGCTTGACTCCCCCTCCGGGCGGTGTAGTCATCAAGATCCTCACTGTCGGTCTTGACCCCCACCAGCGTGACCGCATGAGAGGCCCGGACTTCCAGAGCTACGTCCCTGGCTACGTCTTTGATGAGACCATGACCAACTTTGCCATTTCCAAGGTCGTCAAGTCGGACCACCCCGATCACAAGGAGGGCGACCTGATCCAGGGTCTTTTGCCTCTCGCCGAGTACGGCGTTATCCCCAAGGAGCTGTTCGAGTTCAAGCCCATGGCTGCTCCCCTCGTCTGGAAGGTTGAGAACAAGTACAACCTGGATTACTCGCACTACATGGGCCCTCTGGGCTTGGCCGGTATGACGGCATGGAACTCTTTCTACGGCCTGGTGAAGCCCGAGAAGGGCAAGACCATCTGGGTCAATGCCGCCACCAGCTCTGTTGGTGAGGTCGTGGTCCAGCTCGCCAAGAAGGAGGGCATGCGCGTCATTGCCAGTGTCAGCTCCGCCGAAAAGCTCAAGTACGCTACTGAGGTGCTGGGTGCTGATGCTGGCTTCAACTACCGCGAGGAGGACATCTCCGGTGCCCTGAAGAGACTCGCACCCGAGGGTCTTGATGTGGTCTACGAAAACGTCGGAGGAGACCACTTCCAGGCAGCCATTGATAACCTGAACTGGTTTGGCAGAATCATTGTCTGCGGCATGGTAAGCAACACCTCTGTGAGACATGTGACGAATCGTAAGAACTAACAAAACTGTCGCATAGGCATCTCAATACAACAAGCCCAAGGAGGAGCAATATGGAGTCACGAACCTGTCGGATATCTTCCGCAAGCGCATCACCATCCGTGGCTTCATCTACTGGGACCACGACATCTATGAGCCCAACATTGCCAGCTTCCACGAGAACATGCCCAAGTACATCGCCGATGGCTCCATCAAGGCAAGCTACTCGAAGCACGAGGGTCTCGAGAAGACCCACGAGGCTTTCCTTGAGATGTTCACCGGCAAGGCATTTGGCAAGGCCGTCATCAAGATTGCCGATGAGTAATTTCCGTGTAGGAGGCGACCGAAACACCTGTAACGAAGTTATGACCAAACAAATAAGCAAGTAAAAATAGACCAAATAAACAAAAGTTTAAATCGAATCCAGGCTTCTACTAGATGTAAATATCTCCTTTTCAACCATGAAGACTAGAGCGAGTGTTCCGTCGGTGCGGTTGGACCAGTCTACCTCAGCCAATTACAACCTCAGCTTCGCACAAGCCGCTGGTGCAGCATATTGCACAGCCCATGTGTGTTCACAGCCAGAGTGCGGGGCAGATTTCCTCGTTTCGCTCCTCTTTGTGGCTCACCCATAGGCAGATTTGTGTAAGGCTGTGCCTAGGCATCACCATAAATCCATGAACCGTGCCCAAAAACCACCTGATTTCGAGCGTACCTCGGTAATCGAAACCAGCTTCGATTACTCGCGAAATGAGCTTCGGCTTCTCTGTTGGCGATTTCTTGGCGGTGCTGGAACTTGCGAACAGAGTGCGCAAGGGTTTTCTCGGCGCGCCCAAGGAGTTCAAGGCCATCTCCGACAACGTGCGAGACTTGTCAATTGTTCTCCAAGATGCCGAAGCAAACACCGACAAGCTTGCGCCGGCTCAGTTACAAGAGTACCAAGATACCTTGCAAAGCTGTAAAGGTCTTCTCTTGGAGATTGATTCAGTCCTCCAAAAATATTGTACGATAACGGAAGTTGGAAAAATCGGAGTGAGGAGAACTCTCAAGAGAACTTGGAAACGTCTGAAGTGGGAGCCTGAAGATGTCCGCGATATTCGGAGCCAGATCACCGTCAAGATTGCAACCCTCAACAGCCTGAATAGCCATGTTCTCGTCACCAATGTGGCAAAACTCGTCCGCCACCAGGAGGATTCGGAGTTTCAGTCCTTATTGGAGTGGTTAAACAATACAAGTTTTGTCTTGCAACAAAACGATCTCGCCCTGCATTGCCAACCTGGTTCCCGCAGATGGCTATTCGAGTCTCCAGTCTATCAAGACTGGGTCAAGCAAAAAGATGGCCTTCTCTTTTGTCCAGGCAATGCTGGTACTGGCAAGACGTACACCATGGCGATGGTGATTGAGAACTTGCGATCCAGCAACGACAGCGATGTTCTGACAGTCTACATGTACTGCACATATCGGAACCATACCCAGACGATAGAAGATCTCTATCGCAGCCTTTTACGACTTGTACTCGAAGAGGCTGGACCTAGCGACAGCGAGGAGACGATGCAAGCCTGCGTACAATATCGATTGTCACGGAAGCCTTTGTCTCGACATGACTGTCTGAAATTGCTTCAAATTCATGTTTCCATGATTCCAAAGGTAAACCTGTTAGTGGATGCTTTGGATGAGCTGCCCAGTGAAATTCGGCGACCATTTGTCAACGATCTGCTGAAGTTGAGCGAAGCTGGAAATATCAGCTTGTTTCTCACATCGCGCGATATTCCGGAGATCCGAGCACCCTTCCAGAAATGTAAAACATACGCGTCTCTGGAGATCAGGTCTAGTGATGAGGATATTCAAAGCTTCTTGCGAGATAACACATTTCAGCTACCCAACTTTGTAGCACGATCACCAGTGCTTCAGAAGGATGTAATCGATGCTATTACGGATGCAAGCTCAGGGATGTAAGTGATTTATCAATTGAATCAAGAACTGAGCTTTCAATTGACATCAATCTCAGGTTTCTCCTGGCTGAGCTACATCTGAAGTCGCTGACAACAGCCATTTCCCCGGGCAGTCTGCGCGCGCGATTGTCCGATATTGTCATCAAGTCGAACGCCTATGATGAATTGTACGAAAGCACCGTGGAGCGCATCGGTTTTCAAGGACCCCAGGCTAGGCAGGTCGCCATGCAGACACTTCTGGTCCTTACCTCTGCCCGATATCCTTTGTCAAGTGCTGAGCTCACACACGCCCTTGCGATCGACGATTGTAGCAATGGCTTCAACGAAGACATGGTTCCTGATATGGATGATCTGATTGCTGCTTGCCATGGTCTTGTAGTTGTCGACGGCACTAGTGACATTGTACGTCTGGTACACAAGTCGGCTCAAGAATATTTTGAGCGCACCAGGTCGCGATGGTTCCCAGCAGCCCACGTTACAATGGCAAAGCTATGCCTCCGCTACTTGGAAATGGGCCAGCCAGGAGGTATTCTTCCAGAGGGTGCTGAGCGGCAAGCATTTTTCCAATACGCCACGGCAAACTGGATTTACCATTCATCAGAAGCCGAGAACGAATCTCTGGATACTCGGGATCCTCTCCCGCAAGTTTCCAGCAGCCCTGGCCTAGTCACAGGGCATCCAGAAGCTGACAGAGCATTAGTAGCACAGTCTTCCTTGCGGCAAATAGCACGGGAAGTTTTTGATGTGCATACCACTATCGTTGAGGCTTGTCGCGCTGGTCGTTTGGCATGGGTCGAGCAGTTGCTTATAATTCGCAATTATAACCCGAACCAGCGCGACAGAAGTTGGGAGTTCCAGTTTGAGAATTTTGACAGCCGTCGTCCCATGGTGCCAGCTTATTTCGACGGACCAATTGAGCATCCAAGCCAAGATGATGTTTTATTGACTGTTGCTACCAGTCAACGAAACTACAGCATGGCTGCTATGCTACTTGCACATGGAGCAGACCCGAATATCGCCAACATACACGGACAAACCCCGCTCTCTATTGCAGCTCGGAACGGTTTTGATGATTTGACTTCGTTACTTCTGAGTCACGACTTGATAAAACCTGACTTGAAAAACAGTTCTGCACCCAGCGCGCTCCTTACATCGATTGAACATGGCCATGAGAAATGTTACCAATTACTGCTCGAACGTTCTGATCGCATGGCCACAGATAAGAACGGTAATGGTGTCGTGTGGTATGCGGCGCGTTATGGTCATCTCAAAATTGTGATGGAGCTTCACAAGTGGCCGGAAATTGGCGCTGCCTTGGAAGAATTACCCTTCTGTCACACTCCGATCGTAGCTGCGATTGTTGGAGGTCATCAAGATATCGCTGAATTTCTGCTTCCTCTGACGCCTGAACTTATATGTCGCCAGTGCTCGCTTCGACTGGCCCACCTTGCGGTTCAAGTGGGTTTTGATGACCTTCTTACTGGACTCCTCGAACGCGATCCATCAAATGCAGACCATAAAAGTACCCAGTTACGCCAACTATGGATTGCCCGACTATTGAGGACCTGTGGACAGTATACGGAGGAGATCATGGTCTTACCTACACCATTCTTGACTGCCATTCGTCTTGGGAACGTGTCTGCAGTGCAAGCGATTCTACCATACGTGGATGTCAATAGAGAGACTAACATGCAGGAAGCTGAGGTCAATGGCCGTGGATCTTGGCGAGCTCTCCATGAAGCAGTGAATAGGGGCAACCTAGACATGGTCGAGCTTCTTCTTAGCAAACACGGCATCGATCCGGATCCTATCGATGACGCAGGACGCAGTCCCTTCCTACTCGCAGCTCAAAGAGGTAATTGCTCTATAATGACTGCTCTCATCAACCATGGAAATATTGATTATAGTAGAAAGGCTGGGGGTGAGTCCGCAATCGACTACATTTTGACTCACTACAAAAATCCGCGCTATGTCAAGACTCTGGCGTCGGTTATGTGCACTAAGTTCAGCCACCAAGACTCAACTGGCTCTACTTTACTTCATCGAGCCTGCCGATTCGCCCCGTTCATGGATAGGAAAAACGTCCCCATAGTCGCCGAGATACTAAGTATACCCGGAGTGGACGTGAATATTCGTGATCAGGACGGCAACACACCCCTCCATCTCGCCGTTAGATACCATCTACGAGATGTCGTACGCTTGCTGCTGGACCGAGCAGACACAGATGTCGTAGCAGAGGATCCAGATGGTAACCACGCCTTGAACCTTGCGTACAAGACTGGACTAGTTTCCGATGGAGTCCGCGGAGATGGGTACTGGCGTCCCTATCGAACAAAAGCAAATTTCCCCTACAGTCTGGGGGAATGGGCCGAAGTCCAAACGTCAAAGTTCTTCTTGCCATCTTATAGAGCTTATGATGAATCCATTTTCATGATGCTCGTGCGGGACAAACGTTCAAACCTCGAACACAAAAACCACAATGGGGAGAGTGCTATGGTCATAACAGCATTGACGGGCACAAAGGCCATGGTGCAAATGGCACTAAGCAACGCGACATTGATGTCAGACCTTGGCACAACGAACCAAAATGGGTGCAGCCTAATATCTTGTGCTATACAAGCAAACCCATACCCTGATGCTGTGGAATTACTGCGAGCAAATTATCCTATTCCACCTGTCGAACTTGAAGATAAGGAAACGGTTGGACTGTGATGATGTACAAGATCTTGTAGATCTTGGATGAAGGAGCTCTGTGCCAAAAATGAAAAAGGGTTTCCGTAGTCAGTTTTGGGAGATGCGACATTGATTCTACTGAGTTGATACTGAAAAACAAATCAATTCTGTTTTATTCCTCAAAATGACAAAGGACCAGCAGTATATTTCATGTCCAAAAAAAAAAAAAAAAAGGAAATACGCTATTCTGCCGCTGCGTGTGTTCAGTGCTTTTCAACATAAGTATATTTCGACACTGTATCATTTCTTCTTAGTAATATCATGATCATATAAAATGTCGAATCAAGTTGATGCACCAAGGCCGGGAAGGCTGACATGATTCTTGCCGCTTGGATTGAAGACGTACTGATAGGCTGACTCTATTGTGGTCCCCTAGGCGATTTTTAAGAAATGCATCTGAACATCCACATCTCCCTTTTACACAATTCGAATTGGCTAACCCCATCTACTCCTAAAGCAAGTAACCATACCAACAGACCATTCATCCTCAAACTCAGGTCACGTATATATCATCTAGTATACACTTCTAGCTTTCAGTGCCTTTTTCAAGATCTTTTGCATCCCAGACATATGATCCGCGTCCAACATGGTGTAATGAGCGCCAGGACTGTTGTGAAATCTGACCGGCTCTTCACAAAATTCACTCCAGGGAATCAAATGGTCTCGAAGCCACATCTGTTTATCCTTCCCCACGGCCAAGAGAGGTCGGGCATAGAATACATCAATGTGCTTGACCTTGCCCATCGGATCGTAGTTATGAGCCAGGCCTTGAAGGCTCGCCGAGACATCCGCCCAATGGGCAAGCTTTGTGGCATTGAGATCAAGCTCGGCGAGTTTATCTGCGGGCGCTATGGTAAGGATCTTGTTGAGGACCTGTTCTTTGGTGTAACCAGCATCGTGAAACTCGGCTGACTTCTTGACGGCCTCTTCCTCGGTGATGAAGCCAAGGAAGTATGACAAGTTGAGGAAAAGCTCACACCAATCGATCTGGACCATTCTCCATTTGATATGTGGCGGTCCATTGAGGGATCCCATGTAGACTTCATGGCCAGCTGCCTCGAGTTTCTTGGTCGTCTCAAACGCGATCATGGATCCAAAGGAGTAGCCAATCAGAATGTATGGACCTTTGGGTTGATTTTGGCGGATTGCGTTCATGTATACGCTGCAGAAAGAATAGATGTTAGCCATGATTCCGTTTTAATGAATCAAGATCAAAAGCACCCACTTTGTCATTTCGTCAATGGAGTCAAACATTTTCTCTCCAGCATTGAAACCAGGAGCCCGAAGAGCGTAAACCTCACGATCAGAAAAGTATCGGCTGATGTTTAGGAACACGAGAATTTCGCCCAGACCGGGATGAACGAACCAGATCGGTGTGGACGGTGACTTTCCAGTCTGCAACTTGATTGTGGGGTCGTATGAAGTAGGAACAACAGCTTTCGTGCTATCGACTGAAAGTGCTTGCGCGAGTGCTTTAATAGTTGGACTGGTAAGGAGAGTGCCAATGGGTATCTGCTGCTCTAGACCAAGACGTTCTTGAAGACGGGCTTTGAAGCCAAGTAAACGAATGCTGTCAAAACCCATGTCCATGATACTATCGCTGAATCTGACCTCAGAGGTACATAGGTCGAGTTCGTCCGCAAAGATGTCAATCAGCTTTTTCTCAAAATCGGTCTTGGGATCGATCCGGTGCATCACCCGCACCATCGAGGTACGTTGGCTGGTTAATTCGTACTGCTCATTGAATGTTCCCAATTCATACGCTTTCTTCATAGCTGAGCGTGAGAACTTCCCTAGAGAGGACTTTTGAACGAAGGAAGCTGGGAGAGGAATGATAGCCCGAGGTTTCCTGGCGCAGTACAAGAAGATGGCCTTTTCAATACTGATGATAGTGGTGAGAAGCTCCTCATTTGTCAGCTCTTTTTGCTCCACGAAAGTTATTACCATTTCTTCCGTACTCGACTCGCTGGACCAAACAGGGAATGCAGCAGTATAATAAGGCTTGATGATGCCGGACACGGCCTCTTCTACCATAGCCTCGACCTCATGTGAGAAGTACTTGACGCCATTGATGATGATAGTATCCTTGCTTCGTCCAACAAGAACCAAGTTGGATTCGGAGTCTCTATAACCAATGTCTCCAGTGTCAAACCAACCATTACTGTTGATGAGTGCCTTCGTGTTTTCTGGGTCGTTGTGGTATCTCTTGACTACAACAGGGCCTCTCAGCTGAAGATTGCCTAGCTCAGAAATACCGCAATCACCATCTTCGTTTGTCCTGACTCGCCACTCCATAGAGGCAATACTTTTGCCTACTGAGCAGAATTCCAGCTCATTGTGAATCTCGGGCTTCGGAAATTCGGTGTTGTACAAAGAGCCTGCGCATGTTTCAGTCATGCCGAATGCAGGACATACAACATTACTCATGGCGCCCAGTTCTTTCATTGCATCATTGAATGCAATGGCTGTCGAGATCGTGTTGGCTTCACCGCCGGAGACTACGAAACGGAGATGAGCCAGGTTGATGCCCGAGATAGGCTTGCGCTTCTGGAGTCTTTCGACTATGGAAGCAAGGAAGAAATTTGGTGCAAAGGCTATGCTGATGGAATAATTGCTGAGACAGCAAAGCCACGTCGAATCTTTCATTGCGATGCGGGGCGCAATATGGACTTGTGATGCTCCTACATACATGGCATGTAGATGGATTTCGGTCAAACAAGCTTAAAGTGATGACTATTAGCTTTGCAATGTACGAGAAAGACTGCCACATACCAACGTGGTCGAAACCGACCCAGTTCAGGAAAGAATCGTCTTTCGAAGTGCCAAGCATCTGTGACTTCCCTTGCATAGAAGCCAAAACCTGGCCGTGGGTGATTTCAACCGCCTTTGCGCCCCCTGTGGAGCCAGATGTCAACATCATGAAGGCCACATTGTCGGGATCGAACACCTCAGCGCTGGTCACCCTTGCGCCAGACCTTCGCGCACTGTTTGACGAAGATGCAGGGTAAAGGAGAAGGTCTGTGTCATCTGAACACATCTTGGTGCACTCAGACTTTTGAGTGTCAAAGTCTTCTCGATATTCTGGTGTTGTGATAACAATGGGGTCCCCAAGAACTTCAAACAGGTGATGCAAGTGCCGGCCTCTGGCAACAGGATCCGCGGAAAAGGGGGTTGACACAACAGGTATGCCCCCAGCGGCAATCACTTTCCAGAAGTCTAGTACATTGAGATAATGTGAGTCTAGATGAAGAAGCACAATTCGGTGATCGGAGTTTTTGAAACAAGCCTCCAAGTGCTCCTTTTCTGTCTATTCCTGCTATCAGCAAGGCTTGTTGCATCTTTTGGTGTGGTAATGTACATTGACTTCAGTTCCAAAAGGGTTCTATGTTCTGTGTCTCTGAAGCCCCATATCTCTTGGGTATAGGTAGTTGGTGCTACTTACGATAACGGTTTTATACAATTGCGAATAGTTCAAGTGTCGAACATCGTCCTCACCATGGAAAACCAGCTCCTTCTCGGGGGAAGATTGAGCTGCCCGCTGAAGGATATCCATGAGTGTATGTTGCGGCATCTTGTTGGTATCGAGCCCAAATTGGTGAGGTTATGGGCGTAACTTGGCGATGAATATGTGCTTGGGTGTTTCCGTGAGAGGGAGGTAAGGCCAGGTACTCTGGTCAAAATTGACGAATGTCATACACGTCTTCCAGCGTCAAGCTCACGAGGAAGGCGTGGACCATAATTATTCAAGAGTGTCAACTTGATGCATTACTCTAGTAGCACTACTGGGAAGGCTTCTAGGCTCTCCGGAATAAGTCCTTCCTCATCCGCACAGCACCAACCAACGAAATATGAATCAGTCAGACGTGTGCTTATCAGATGGCTACTGACAAGGCAGCCACCAATCTGAATACTCATTCCTTTTTGTTCGTGATAATGTTATTGATGCAGGGTCGACGTGTTTGCTGCTTCAGAGAAGGAACCTGTCTAGGTTGGCAGCAAGAAAACGATTGAAATTGTGCCAGCTCGTATTTGGCAATGGATGTCTGCAGGGTCTCGACCACGAGCCAAGGCTGCATCGTGGGAGCTTGTATGGTCACAATGCAAGGAGTAGTTCATGTTCTCGAGACAAGCGACCACTGCGAAAACCTGCATACCAGCCAAGGTATCCAGCCTAATATTCTTTTTTGTTCTTGCAGGCATTCACGGGATGTGCATTACTTCAGTCATCATCATCATATTGATAAGCGAAAGTCTAGTTGGTGAAAAACAAAATCTTCTAAAGAGTGATAATTGTTACTGAATGTCGCGTAAGAGGAGGGAATAGAATCCGATTGGTTACTTATATCCTGCTCTTGCGTGCGCACATGTGGTAGTTTGCCTTTCAAGTCCCTTTGACAGCCGACTGAACCTAAAATACAATCAGATGCTGCAAGCGTCCATGCAATGCGTGTGCCATGCTCCATCGTCATTTGGCCGGCATGGCTATCCGCGTAGGATTGCATCTCGCCAGGAAGAAGAAAGAATATTCTGAAACGACTCGTCTGCGTGATACAGCAGTGGAAAATATGAACGACTGCTGTACTTGCAAGGCACGTTGCTGTTATGTGACATGCTGACCTGCATAGACCCGCAGTTCAAGCAAACAGAAAACCCTTGCCGAAAGCGTATTTGTTTAGACCCCCATGTCAACAGTTCGCTGACTTCGGACGTCCCATTTAACGTCAAGTTGTATCGATCTGCACGAATATGCTAAGAAAACCATGGTCCAGGTAGATCGAATAGTTTTCATAGCTGAATAATCGAGTGATATGTAAATGGTATCCAATACTATGGCACAGAGTCTCTGACTAGGTGAGGTACCTACCTATCTAACCTAGTACTTATCCAAGACTGTCGATTTCAGTGCTGAGGTCGTGATTCCATTATTGGCAACGGTTAATGTGCACACAAACTTAAGGTTTTGACTAGGTAGCCATGATCATCAGGCACGTTTTGATCCCAGCAAGAAAGACACAAGAAGAAACGCGGGGGGAGGGAAGAAAAAGGAGACAAAATGAAAAAGGAAGAAGCAACTTTGTACTGCACTGTTCGAACGACTCCACTTTCTGTCAGTGGGAGTTGACAGACGGATATCCGCATATTCTTCTTTGATTGACAAGCATGGGTCTGCAGAATCGTGACATTAATAATTTCATCAATGCAATTCAACATTGTCTCCTAATCACAGTTTTCAGTACTATTGTTTGCTTGGAATATCATTGATGATAATATTTCGGCTGCTAGCATCGCAGCCAAAACCTGCCTATCTGTCAGGTACCTATGTGCCTAACCCTGTGCCGCGCGCACTGGACCGTTCAACGTCGCACTCACCTACCACCCAATCACAAAAGCACGTCATATACTCCTTACTACAAGACTTTACAGTCACATATAGCCGAGCCTGGCAAAAGGAAACCGAGCCGTCAACTCTTTGATGGCCGGCCGCCAACTACCGTGGTGTTCATGGTATTATTCTTTCTTTTCCCTGAGAGGAGAACATCTCCACTTCACCTCGGCATGTCGGACAGTCGGGGTGAAGCGTCCGCCCAGGGTACCGACCGTGGCAAAACGACCAACAGCTTAAAAAAACACCATCACAATGGAATGATTTCCATGACGTTATCACGCCCAACCAATTGCACGTAAAACCCCACCCAGACCGGCATGATTCTGGTTGCCGTATGGGAACTTCTCGAACCCTCCCTCCAAGCGGGGGGCACAATGGAAGTACGTACGTAGTATGTGTAGCGTACTACGACAAAAAGTGCTTTCGGATGGTGGTTACCGCGCGCACATACTACAACGTACTAAAGAAAGGTCTCTCCACACCCGCGCGGATGATGACAAATGTACCAACCAGTGTTACCTTTTAGTATTTGAATTGGGAATATAATTTACCAGATTTGGGTCGTTGTTTGTCTATATTATAGCACAGAGCCTCTTCATTGGAAGGGAATCAAGAATCAAGATATTCGTTAGCGATATCCATTGAACTCTTCAATTTCAAGTGTTACTGCTGTGTGGATCAAATTCTCAGACTCTCCTGACTTATACATAAACATCAACTTTCTTTCTCTATCCAAAATGAAGGAAGCCTATGTTGCAAAAGGTATAGTCCATGAGCAGAATTGAAATATCCGAGCAGGGCTAATCCTACGCCTACAGGCACCGTGGTCACCATCATTGACTCGACCATCCCGCAGCCCAAGGCGGACGAGGTCCTGATCAAGGTCGTCTATGCCGGCTCCAACCCCAAGGACTGGAAGGTGCCCGAGTGGCTCGACACCAATATCAACCAGGGAGACGATGTCGCGGGCTACGTCCACGAGGTCGGCAGCAATGTGACCGAGTTCAAAAAGGGCGACCGGGTCATGGGTTTCCATGTCATGCTCAGCCCTCACGGTGCCTGGGCCGAGTACAGCATCGTGCCCGCTCACACCACGGCCAAGATTCCCGACAACATCTCCTTTGAGCGTCAGTAGAACCATTTCCGAAAATTTCATTCTAGCAGATCTACTCACGCAATCCCAACAGAGGCTGCCGCCATCCCACTGGCCGCTCTGACCGCAGTGGTCGGTCTATACTCGCCCACCCGCCTAGCACTGCCAGAACCGAGTAACCCAGCCAAGGAAGACATTCCTCTCGTCATTTACGGCGCCGCCTCGGCCGTTGGCTACTACACGCTGCAGCTGGCGATCAAGAGCAACATCCACCCCCTGATCTGCGTGGCCGGCAAGTCCCAAGACCACGTGCGCGGCCTGCTCGACCCCAGCAAGGGCGACGCCATTGTCGACTACCGCGACGGCGATGCGGCCGTGGTGGATGGCATCCGCCGCGCCCTGGGCGGGCGCAAGCTCCTGCACGCCTACGACGCCGTCTCGGAAAAGGGCAGCTACCAGAACCTGAGCCAGGTCCTCGAGCCCGGGTCCACCATTACCCTCGTCCTGCCGGGCAAGCAGTACGATGACATCCCCAAACACATCAAACAGACCGTCACCTCGGTTGGTTCCGTGCACGACGCCGAAAAGGACCTTGGCTACCGGTACTTCCGCTACATTAGCGAGGGGCTCAAGGAGGGCTGGTTCAAGCCACAGCCTACCAGAGTCGTTCCTGGCGGTTTGGGAGGTGTGCAGCAGGCGCTCGAGGACCTCAAGGCTGGCAGAGTCAATGCCCAGAAGCTTGTTTTTGAGATTGCGGCAACTGAGGGTCTCGAGTCATCAAAGATTTAAGGAACACTTGAACTGCCCAAGGGAGAGACTGCCCATTATTAGTCAAGAATAAAGTAAAATGAAACACGCAACAAGGTCATATCGCCAAATGTTATCAAAGTGCGGCTTCACGTTCTTCCAGGGTTATTGCATGACCGAACTTGGAATACGTCAGTATTCAGTACTGCTCATGGCGGTTCGCAATACTTGTACGGAAAGGGATATACTTGCCGGCAACGTGTTTACGACCAGATCCTGCTTCCAAACAAGTGCAAACTGGGTGAGGGGCTTATCCGTGCCATTGTAAATAATACACCAATGCAATAAATGACAACAAAGCCAAGAAATGATATGCTCCCTGAACGCCACGCTCTGTTTCGCTCGCATCGGTCATGCCATGGAGCCGCCGCTTCTATTTGCCCCGATGAGTCCAGCCATTTCTAAAAGTGCCCTGTCAGCTGCGACATCGCCTGTGCCCAGGTTGACTCGCCTTCTGGCCTCGGCTTCCCTTGCCTCCCATTCCCACCTCTCTCTTTGCACTTTCGCCTCGGCATCGCCGCCACAGCCCCAAACCTCAATGTCATCAATCTCGAACCGGTCCTGAAAGTCAAATTTTCTGGAGATGCTGGTGGAGAAGGCGCCTCCTCGAGAAGTGTAGTCATGAGTGAAGACGCCAAACTCGAAGCTCGAATCAATGATCAACGATACTGGTCCTAGAGCACGGAGACTCTCGTGGCGCGAAGCTTGTCCAGTCTTTGGAACAGGGCATCCAATGGTGATACCTGGATTGACATTGGGGGGTTTGGTGTAGGCAACGTAGTCTTTGTTGAAAGCTGAAGCTTTGAAGACGTCATGAACAGGCCCAAGCTGGAATAGCACCATGTCGTCACCTCCAAAGCATTCCCTATTGGTGTGCTGCCAGGGCTGACGTATGAGTGCTCCAAAGGTGACGCGCTCTCGGCTGTCTGGACTGCCATTAGGAAACCGTTTCGGTGGTATCGTATCCAGGAAATGCGCTTCCGCTCCACCATGCCGGGCAGAGTCATCAATTCTGGTACCAGTCACCAGGAGGATGGTAGGAGCGCGCCAGTTGAAGACTTTGGTCGCAAAGCTTCCCATGGAGAAACCAGCTTCTGCACCAGAGTACAATAAGCGCAAGCGCCTGAACAACTCGTCTCCGGAAATGAAGAAGGACAATTGCGACAAAACATTGATGTTCAGTATGCGCCCTTTGTCGTGCAATAGTGGTGGCGGTGGGATTGCATGGGGTTCTGCTTTTGGCACGCTGCCCTTTCGCTTATTCAAGTCCAAGTTCTTTGAGAATAGGAAATGCTCGAATAGGGCATTGAAACCATGGAACAGATAAGGGAAGCAGCCTTGTACAATCTCGTCGAAATGGTGGAACGTTATACCAGGTGACTTTTCCACATTTAAAAATGCCGAAAGGATATTCTCCGCAGTGGTCCGTAAGCTTTCTAACTCGTCACCAGCGACCCGCGGCGCAAAAGTTGACAGGCGCTCTTGGGGGTCCATCGGCGCAATCAACAAGAGGAGCATGATCAATCTGCGAAAATTATCTGCTGGTATCATGGCACCATGCGTCGTGGCCGCGTGAGCATCTCCCGTTTTGAATGCGTCGTTGAGATCCAGCGAGTCGAGAGCAGCCAGGACAAGCTCGTCGTCATCCACTGCATCGTCTTCCGGATCCTCTCCCGCTTCGTCCACGGCGAACCCAAGAGCCTGGGTCATCTTATTCCCGTTACTGCCGTTACTGCCGTTGCTTCCATTTTGACTGGGCTTCGGCTCTGTGGCTGGCTTCTCAATCTCCGACAATTTGCGATCGTATACTGCCAAACTCTTGAAAAGGAGCTTCCTCCTAGTTGCTGCTCCCTTGGCCAGTATCTTGGTGTACCTCTCCGTCATGATGGCGACAACCATGATCATTTGCTCAAAACTTAAGACGGCCGGTGCGTCTTCCAGGAAGGGGAATGCGCCTATGTACGAGAGCATCTGGAATATGACAGGCGAAACCCCGAGAATGTCGGGCAGCTCCAAGAACCGGGCAATGGTGTCCTCCTTGAGATAGCGCACATCTTGTTGGTGATCGGCGAGGGACTTGAAGTTGTCTTTGAAGGAGTATAGCTCCAAAGGTTCGAAACACTTGCGGGCGAACTTCTCTGCCTGGCGGACATATGCGTGTTAGCTTTGGGGTCTTATAAAGATGGGATAGCTTCAGAGGAGGGGTTGCTTGCCAGCTCAGCCGTAATCTCCTCTTTGGAGCGGTGCTCTAGATCCGAATGAGACTGTCCCATGGTGAGATGCTAGCCATGGAAGTGAAGCGCATGTAGAAAAACTGCGATGAACAAAATCTTGGTGGGGGAAAGTCTGTTGTTCTTGCTGGCATGAATCTCATGGTATGCTAAGGTGGAATGTCTCAGCGGGCACAGATGCACCCACTGACGTTCGTGACGTAACGCCACTAACGCGACGGATCGCCAGGGACCGTGGACCACTAAAGCCCCCGGAAAGAGCCCCGCAAGTCCGGTGCTGGGGTTGTAGTTTAGGTATCTGGTTTTGGCATGTGCAGGTAATGTACCTTAATGTGATACTGAGCGTAATCTAGGCAAACGTGAACCTTTCTAGCTTGCTACCTGAACAATGCAAGAATCGTTGAATTGGAATGCTAAGAGATCAGGGGGTGAGTTTCTCGGATTCCCATGGATACTGTCGAAACCTGCTTGCATACAATAATTTCCTCTGATTACTCGGCACCTTTTGTCGGAAGCATACACTTGGCCTCAAGACACAATCCTGTTCCGACTGCATGTTGCCAATTTGATGGTTATGACATTACAAAATATCTAAACAACATGAGTCGTCGTATTGAGAGCCAAAAAAGACAGTTGAGCCCCTGAACGTATATACAGAGTAGTGATGTACAATATTTTCGACACCATAGGAAAATCAGCCCGTGTCATAGATCCAGATTTGAAATAGTACAATGCTTTTGGAGAGTAGGGAGCAAGACCCCGAACTTAGAACGCAACTCATTTCTTGCTTCCCGCTACTGGCTTCTCAACCGGTTTCTCAACCGGTTTCTCTTCGGTACTCGATTCGGTACTCTTTCCTGTGCCGAACCATCCACCAGCATTCGACAACGCGCCTAGCACACTGGATTCTTGTTTCTTGTCGTTAGGAGAGGCTTTGCCGCCTGCAACCTCTGTCGTTGCTGCTGTCGCTGCCGCCGCTGCCTCAGCACTGTCGTGCGCGGCTCGCTCCGCTTCTTCGGCCTGTTTGGACTGAACACGCTCTTTTCTCCTCTTGAGATGCTCCTTGAGCAGCTTTTCCTCCTCATCTCTGACTTCGAGTTCGTGCAGCCACTTTTGGTGGCGCTCCTCGGCACGCTTCTGTGCTTCGAGCTTGATGAGCTCCTTTCTCTTCTCGCGGTCCGCGCCATAGTATGCTCCTCCGGCGACAATGGCGCATACAGTGAATGCCTGGGCTCCGATACGGGCACGGAACATGCGCTGGACCTGGGCATGGTCACCCTTGCGCATGGCGCGCCATGCATTGTACAAGGCGGCGCAGGTCAAGATGGTTCCTGAGAGCCGAGAAGGAATTAGGAACTGCTGCGATCTCGGACATGAACGATTTTCTATTTTGACTCACCCAAAGGTACGAGGGGCTCTTCCCGGAGCTTGCGAACCACTTTCTGGGCTCCAGTCTCTTGGTAATCCCTGAATGCAAATACTGGTGAGCTGCGGGCAATCGGCGGCTATAGCTCCGGTCTCACGTACTTGTCGTCGTCAAACGACGAGGGCATAGGTCTGTCGGCCATGGTGACTATCGATTCGGTCGCTATATGGGGACGTTGTCGGATGCGTTCGTGGGTGTTGTTGGACGCCCGTGTGTTCCGTTGCGTCGCTATTCAAGGTGCCAATCGAACGAGCCGCAAAGTTTCAATGATGACATGGATTACCAGCGGAAACGTTCCAGGGCGACCCGAGCTTGGAGCTCCGATAAAAGGTTTCTGTGAGCTGAGAGCAGCGCTAAGATAAGGCGGTACTCACTCTGCCCCTCCCAGATGCGCAATGTTCCACTCGGTGATTATTGAATAGGATTGGATTCTTGATAATTGGCCATGTAGGTCATAGCTTGCAAAAAAAAACTAAAAACTATACACAATAGTCATGTCATTGGAAAAAAAAAAAACGTAGCTTTTTTGTTCTTCTTATATTTAATTCAGCCAAAATTTGCTTCGTCGTCGTACTTGGTCGTCTTGCCAGCACAGGTACAGACTCCAACTGTACAGAGCACTGGCATTTCAGGTACCTTGCAGATCAGGTAGCATGATGAAAATTGGCCGCACATCGGCCCAGCAGACAGCTTGAGTCAAGTGCCCCACCAAAATTTTCCCTTATAACCATAACTACGTAGCCAGTCACAATCACTTGTTTACCACGAACAGTAACATAGAGGCGATGATTAGTTTGAACAAGCCAGACACATATACTCAACATGTCTACGAGCGAAGATCCAGTCGTCAATGGTGTCAATGGCCAAAAACAGACCAATGGAAGACGGACACCGTCACTATCTGGTCTCTCTCTGACCGAGTACAGCGCCAACCCGTCGCCGCCATCGGACCGCAAACAAGCACGCATCAAGCAACTCGTTCCTGACGAATTGCTTCTGCCTAATGGGCACCCTGATGTAAGACAGCTATTGAGATACTAGATCAAGTCTATGACCATATACTAACGACTACAGTATGTGGGCATGATCCTGAATTCGAGAGTTTACGAAGCCTGCAAGAGAACCTCACTCACGCCCGCCACGAACATCTCGAAACGACTCGAATGCAATGTCCTTCTTAAGCGCGAAGATGAACAGCCCGTGTTTAGCTTCAAGTTGCGAGGCGCATACAACAAGATGGCCCATCTGGACCCAAAGCAGAGCTGGAAGGGTGTTATCGCCTGCAGTGCTGGTAACCACGCTCAGGGAGTGGCCTACTCTGCACGACAGCTGAAGATCCCAGCCACCATTGTCATGCCTCAAGGAACACCGAGCATCAAGCACCAAAACGTCTCACGCATGGGTGGAACAGTGGTCTTGCATGGTGCCGACTTTGACGCTGCCAAGGAGGAGTGCCTCCGACTCGAGAAGGCCCATGGGCTTATCAACATCCCGCCGTTTGATGACCCATACGTCATTGCTGGCCAAGGCACCATTGGCTTGGAACTGATCTCAGATACCAACCTCTCGAAAGTTGAGGCCATCTTCTGCTGTGTAGGTGGAGGTGGCCTTATTGCCGGCATTGGTGTCTTCATCAAGCGCGTGGCTCCCCATGTGAAGATCATTGGCGTTGAGGCCGAAGACGCCAATGCTATGGTACAGTCTCTGGCAAAGGGAGAGAGAGTCTTCCTCAAGGAAGTTGGACTGTTCGCCGACGGTGCAGCTGTGAAGACAGTGGGAGAGGAGACTTTCCGCATCTGCCAAGAGGTTGTCGACGAGGTTGTTCAGGTCACCACGGATGAGACATGTGCAGCCATCAAGGATGTCTTTGAAGATACCCGTTCCATTGTCGAGCCTGCCGGTGCTCTGGCCTTGGCCGGCCTGAAGAAATGGGTCAAGACCAACCCTTCCAGCGACCCAAGCAGGACAGTCATTGCCGTTACGAGCGGCGCCAACATGAACTTTGATCGTCTGCGCTTCGTTGCTGAGCGCGCTACTCTAGGTGAGGGCAAGGAGGCCCTTCTCTCTGTTCGTATCCCTGAAAAGCCAGGTGCTTTCTCCGAGCTCATTGAGAACATCATGCCACACGCCGTCACGGAGTTCTCCTACAGATATGCTACAGATGAGGTTGCCAATGTGCTCGTTGGTATATCTCTGACCGCACCGGCAACCCAACGAGTGACTGAGCTTGAGACGCTGCTAGAGCGTATCAACTCAACAGGAATGACAGCTACAGATTTGTCTGGAGACGAATTGGCAAAGTCGCACATTCGCTACCTCGTTGGTGGACGATCCGACGTGCCAGATGAGCGTGTTTACATGTTCACCTTCCCAGAAAGACCTGGAGCGCTCCAGAAATTCTTGAACACTCTGCGCACTCAGTACAACATCAGTCTGTTCCAATATAGAAATGGCGGCAGTGATGTAGGCAAGATCATTGCCGGTATCCAGTGCCCAGCTACCGAGTTGAGCCAGCTGGAAGGATTCCTTAAACAGATCGGATACCCGTGGCAAGACTGCACCGACAATCCTGCTTTCAAGACTTTCCTCAGGTCTTAAAGTTGATAAGAAGTATGAAAGCGGATTTCATGTCAGGCGAACAGGGCGCTGGGTTTGGTTTAAAAGGTGGTGCGTCTTATACTTTGGTCGTATTTCATTCGGCGAAATTGGTAGAGGTCAACTGGTCACGACAAAACCTATTAGAGTATACCAATATCACTGTAGATATTAATTGCATCTTATTGGAATTTTTATTTCTTGGTCACTTTGTTTTTCTGTTTCTTTTTCTTCTTTGATTGTTTATTCCTTTGTGCCACTGAGTATCTTAATGTACTGAGGGTTAGAGTTGGTGTACTACCTACATCAGCTAGCTTGCCAAAAGTCACCCGGCCGGACCACGCTGTAGAATGTCCCCGGTTTTTTCCCGAAAAAATGCATCCACCCAATCCGCGAGCCTAGCCATCACTACCGCCTTGAGCTGCAGGCGTGCGACAGTCCCTTTCACTTGACAGTGCAGTCCAACGACCTACCTCACCACGAAACGTCTCTTAAAAATGTGCGGTCCATCGATATCGCGGTCCTCCAAGATGGCGACCTCGTCGCTGCTCTCCTCCATGCGCGCATTGTCGCTGGGCCACCACTCGTGCAAGTCCGCCGCCAGCACCGCCGCCGCGAGCACCAGCATGATGCTTCGCTCCGGCACCAGACAACAACCTGTCCGAGCCATGTCACAGGCCATTACGCGCGCGACGACGAGGCCCAAGACGATCACTAGCACTGTTGCCTCCACGGCTGCAAAGGCCCTGCAGCCCAAGATCCAGCAGCAGACGAGAGGCATGAAGGTACACAGTTCGGTCAAGAGGCGATGCGAGCACTGCAAGGTACGTGTTCTCTCCCCAAAGCCTTCTGCAGCGTCATTTCTGTTATTTACACTCTCAAATGAGTGCTGGATATGATCAGGAAGGTTCTAGGCTGACGTGATTCGGTTCAATACAGGTCGTGCGAAGGAAGGCGAACAAGAGGCACCGAGGCTACATCTACATCATTTGCAGCGCAAACCCGAGACATAAGCAGCGACAAGGATAAAGGAGGAATCTTTTTGGACTGAGAAAAGTCATGTTCCTCAATTTGTGTATGATTCGAAAGACGCCGAACAATGCTAGAAGCGAGAGGGAAGGATCTCCTCTAACGCGAAATGTACTACTACTATATTGCACATGTACAAGATACAGCCTGGACCATATTGCCCGGCACAAGACTCTGGTAAACGGGAAAATACAAGGCAGACAACTGGCGCCGGCAAGATTTGATTTGGCGTTTTGCATGGGGGCCTCAGCCGCGATAAAAGTAGAACGGCTACATGCCCTCAATATACCTCTCCATGGTCTCCCATTCCGTTTTGCCTGTCGAGAGTAGATATCTGATATGAGCCTGATACAAGCTGTCAGCTTCCAGGTCCCATCATCTAGACATTCAATCGCCATTGGGATATACCTACCAGGTCCGTAACCCCACGGTGCCGCTCGAATTCGGCACGGGCAAAGCCACGAGTCTCTGACCGTGTACCCGGATTGTCAATTCTCTTGGTGCCGCGCAATATGGTCCGGTAGAGCGACAGGACTCGCGACCGCTGCAAGAACTTTAAACGAATACGTTAATCGTCGTGCTTTTATTCCGTGTTTTGTGAACATATTTCGACTTACATGGTCCAGGCTCAATGCCTTGCCGAGTCTGGTAGTCCTCTTTGCCTCGGTCGCATAATGCCGGGCCGGAGACCACAAGGGCCTGAACATGCTCACAGAGCTCATGGAAGGTCAAGATTCAAGTATATCCACCGCATCGAATTGGTCCGATTGATGCTAGGTGAATTTGATCAATCGGGCAATGCTTTGTTGCGATGACCTCAGAAGGAATATTTTGAGCAGGACCCCTATGCCTTAAACCACATAGATCCATCTAGCGGGGGGCTAGTACTGCCTGACTGCATTAGGCTTGGGGGAATACCGGTAAGCACCTTATTAGGTTGCGCCTCTTTGTTCACCTTGTTTAATTCACAGCTTTCTTGTTAATGTCTTTATGGTGCCAATCTGCATACTGGCTCTCCCGTATTCATCCTTGCACTCCGTTCAACAGCGGCATCTCATGCGACACGCGATAACTACAGCAGATGTTTATTGGTCGCGGATTGGCATTCGTCTATCATCACATATTCGCAGCCATGGGTTCTTCTGCTGATGCCTTGGACCCTATAGAGGCGACAAATCTAAAAAGCGATGAACTTTTCATTCGGGAACACTTGCAACCAAGGTACGAGCATTAGACATGGGACGTGTCGATTGCGACAGCAGTTACTGTGATGTCGAGTGTGCAACAGGGACTGACAGGCACAGCAGCAATGGCTGGACTGACTGGGCCCACCCCAATAGACAATCAACATACTCAATTTCACTAACTTGGGTTCAAAATTTGAAGTTGGAAGATCTTAAAGCATGCTTTGCTCTCATTGAAGAGACGAGCAAGCCGCACTACAAGGCTTCGTCCAAGGGTTGGAAACCGAGGAGTAAAATGAGCGAGATGAAATCACCGGAGCTGAGATACGTAATCGTTAGGGATGCCGAGGGCGAGATTCGTGGATTTACCTCACTCATGCCTACATATGAAGAGTTTCAGCCGGTTATTTATTGCTACGAAATTCATCTAAAGCCAGAATTGAGAGGGTACGTTTTGCTTTTACCCATGGAAAAAAAAAAGGTACCAGTTCTGGTGGGCTAACGCGCAAAAGGACTGGACTCGGAAAACATCTCATGGGCTTTCTCGAAAGAATCGCCAGACATACACCAACGGTAGAGAAGGTCATGTTGACATGCTTTGTGCAAAACTCTGACGCCTTTGAATTTTACAAGAAGCTTGGCTTCGAAGTTGATGAGATATCTCCAAAACCAAGAGTATTCCGTGATGGTAGGGAGGTTGGCTCCGACTATGTTATCATGAGCAAATCGGTCACATGAAGCCTGCCATGGTGTTGGGGCGTCATTGATGGCACAGCCCATGGCCCAAACCGGAGTCTCGCGCAGAGAATAACCAGCAGCGGAATGTTTGTTCCAGATACCAGTCATCCAAGATCCCAAGAGTCTTGTATAAGGCAAAGATCCAGAAATGTTGTCGCGAATCATCACCTGTCAATGTTGCATGGGAGCCAGTGCCGCGCAAGTATTTGTTTTTGTGTATGTAAGCTGGAATGCACGTTTGGTCAAATCCAAACGTTTGATTGGTGCTGTGCCACGTGGACGGAAGCATGAGGCGGCGAGAGGTTGTCCATAATCACAAACATGGATGGCATCCAGTCTCACTCTGATAGCGGGTTGCACAACTTTGAGGTCCAAGGCTACTGGGTGAACGTTCAATATTAATACCGTACAAAAGTCTCAATAGTTGGCGGTCACTTGGCAGCATGCTCTGCGACGATACGGCAATGCCAAAATGGCCAAATCGGGCTGTTTCTTACCCAGCCACACTAAATCCATTTCCATTCTAGTCTCTTGACGTTCAAGCATACAGCCAGACTAATGCAGATACCGTAGCATGAATTCCATGAATAGCTACTGCTTATATGGGGGTTGCAGTTGCCAAGGCCTTGCTCAACGCAAGTTGAGATCCTTCAGCTTGGGATCCAAGTCGCCTATCGATATCCCTGGCAGACTTCGCAGCATGCAGCGGCCTTTTTACCTGGCATAGGAAAGATATACTCGACTTATCAGAGATCAAGCCGTGATAACCGGCGCAGATTTTGTGGGACAATAGCAGTCTTGATGATTCCTCCTAGGCTGCTACGCTCTGGTTCTCTCCTGCATTGCAGGCTTCAATGCCTAGTAATGAACCAGCCAGGGGCCTTAGAGTCGGGAATAATGTGCCAAAAGTTCCATATATTAGGGATCTTATCTTTCTCGTTTAATGTCACTACATGTCTGGCAGGAGCTCTGAATAGTGTTGGCCGTACTACTCACCCCCAATTTTTCAAACGACTTTTATGAGTGAATGTTATGAATCGTTCTTTCCTCGTGAAGTTCTTTGTTGCCAGAAAACAAAGCCTGTAGTGCATGTGTACTGCTTCCAAACCATTTCCATCGATTTCTGGTCAATCGTGAACCAGTTCCCCTCTTCACCTACCGCAGAAACGAGGCAACATGACTTTCAAATTCAAGGCTCTCGTATTCGATCTCGGTGGTGCCCTCATAGACTGGGATCACAATGTCATGAACTCTCTGGCACCAAACCAATTTTCTACCATCATGAACTCCACGGCCTGGCACCGGCTAGAGAGAGGTACCATCCATGTGGATGAAGCTTGCAAGGTATGTTACCTGGTCTCTCCATTCATAGTCTCAGGATCCTGTATGGCTGAGGCTTTGTGTAGGAGTTTGCCAAAATGATTGGTACAACCCCTGATGTCGTCAAGAATTCTCTCAACGAATCACAGTTGTCTCTAAAGGTCAATACTCAACTAGTGGAAACTATCCAAGATCTGAAAAGATCAGCTCCCGACCTCAAGCTCTACGTCATGTCCAATATTTCACGTGTGAGTTGAATTGACATTCGCACAAACTCATGACTTATTATCCACAGGAACATTTTGAGATCACACTGGGCTTAGATCTGCCTTGGGCCTTGTTTGAGAGGTGCTTTGCGTCGGGCATTGTGGGCATGCGAAAACCTGATCTATGCTTTTTTGATCACGTCATCAAAGAAATCGGGCTTCTTCCCAACGAGATAATCATGATTGATGACACCACCGAGAATATTTGCTCCGCTCGATCCCGGGGCATGCACGGGATCCTGGTGAATCAGTCACTGAAGAGCGTCGGTGGTGCCTTGAGAAACCTGCTCGAGGACCCGCTTGAACGAGGAGAGACGTTTCTCAAGATGAATGCCAAGAATCACCATTGCGTCTTTGAGGGCCACGAAGAAATGGTTCTCAAGGATAACTTTGCCCAGCACATGATTTGGGAACTGACAGGCGATGAGGATATCATCTACCTCAGATGGCCTGATGGGAGGACTCTGGGAGTTGATGTCCCACAGCCCAAGCCTTGCAAACCCAAGTTGAATGGAAGCCGCCAATCTGATGGTGTTGAAAATGACCGGCCGCTTCTCGAGTCCAAGGTGAAGAATGGTCTCTGGAACTACTTCATCGACGGACCTATCCTGACAACTCATCACTTTCCTCCTGATGCCGATACGACAGCTACAGCCTACCTGTCGATGCCGGACCGTTACCTGTCTACTACTGTTGACGCAAAGTTGGTCATGGACGTAATGGCCCAGAACCTAGACCAAGATGGGATTATGCAAGCCTACTTTGATTCTGAGCGGCCACGTACCGTGCCCGAAGTCTGCTGCAATATTCTTCGCATGTTTCATCGCTTCGGCTACGGCGCACTTCCCGCGGCCGAAAAGACGGAAGACTATGTTGTTAGTTGTCTCGACAACAATGCTTGTTTGGATGGAGCTAGACATTATACGGTGCCCGAGACCTTTCTCTACTTTGTAGCCCGGCTGTACACCGAAACCAGCTCAGAGATGCTACGAGGACGACTGCACGGTATCAAGGCACAACTAGAGGATCGCTTGAACGAGCCTACCAACCCTCTGGCTCTTGCTCTCCGTCTTTTCACCTGTCAGATTATCGGAGTTGAGGCAAAATTGTACAAGAGAGATCTAGACAGACTATTAGCCCTGCAAGACGAGGACGGTGGTTGGCCCGCGGGGCATTTTTGCTGCTTGGGTCGGACAAGAGTACGTATCGGCAATCGAGGCCTCACGACGGCTCTGGCTGTGCGCATTCTGAGGCACCAGAGGATTTAATGCGGCCGTCACATGCGGAGCAGGATGAGAAGGACGTGCACTCTATCATCAAGATTTGCGTAGCTGCCAACGGCTCCGGCAATAGAATGGAGCCACGATAAAATTTCAGGGCACCTACAATTCAAATTGTTATGAGTATTGATTGAATTTTTCAAGTTACTATGCAGCATTGAATCTTTTTCCACTTGACCGCGGTGTTATTAATTGGCACTGAATCCACCATCGCATAAGAATAATGTTCACTTCACAAGTATAAAGACAATTCCAATGCTGCTCACTCATTGAGGTCTATTAAGTATTAATCGAAACAAGATAACTAACACGATTCTAATGTCGCCAAGATCTCCAACAGCTCATCGGTGCTCCATATCCCTCGTTGCAAAATCATGGATGCCACTACCTAGTGCTGAGGAGCGGGAGTCGGCGCAGGGTCGACAGGTCCCTGAGGAGGAGGGATATCACGCTTGGCGGGAGCAGGAGCAGGAGAAGGGTCGACGGGTCCCTGAGGAGGGGGAGGGACATCTCTCTTGGCCGGAGCGGGAACGGGAGCAGGAGTAGGGTCAACGGGGCCCTGAGGAGGGGGGACGTCACGCTTGCCAACAGCAACATTGGCGTTGACATCAGCGTTGATGAGGCTACCATGGGGACCAGCGGGAGCAGGAGCCTGACGCTTGACGGGAGCCGGAACGGGCTGAGCGGGGTCCTGAGGACCAGCAGGAGGAGGAGGGACGTCCCTCTTGGCCGGGGCAGGGGCTGGAGCAGGGTCGGACTGGGCCCTGAGGAGGAGGAGGGACATCACGCTTTCCGACGGCAACGTTTGCGTTCACGTCGGCGTTGATGAGACCACCCTGGGGAGCGGGAGCGGGAGCCGGGGCATCACGTCTGCCGGGGGCAGGAGCAGGCTTGGAGGGGTCCTGAGGGGGAGGAGGAGGAACGTCCCTCTTGGCCGGAGCTGGAGCCGGGGCCGGAGTAGGGTCGACAGGTCCCTGAGGAGGAGGAACATC